CTGGGGGAGGGGGAAGAGGGGTTAGCGACGGAGCATGCGCAGCGTCCCGGAAGTGGGATCAAAGCTCTAGGCGTGGCCAAGACTGAGAACTGAAGGATTTATTAAAAGATTAGAAGCCCTGTGCACGAATTCGGGCACGGGTGCGGTCCCTCTGCCTGGCCCGCCATCCCGTGGCGGGCTCCGGGGAGGGACTGGGGGAGATTGGCTGGCCGGGGGAAGTTGGCGCACTGACCACCAGGGGGCAGCTCCTCCCTTAGTGTTGCCCCCTGGTGGTCAGTGCTTGTCACAGCGACCCAGCCACTGAATGGGTGGTAAGGGTTGCTTAGGCTTTTACATATATACTAGAGGCCCTGGTGCATGAAATTTGTGCACTGGGGGGTGGTGTTCCCTCAGCCCAGCCGGCTCCTCTCACAGTCCAGGAGCCCTCAGTGGATGTCAGACAGCCACAGTCTGGCAGCAGAGGCTCCGAGCAGGTGTCGTGTGTGTGTGTGTGTCTCTCTCTCTCTGCCAGGGGCCTGCCCCCAGCCACAATGTGGAGGCTTGGAGCAGGCACCCCTCTGTGTTGATCTCTCAGGCTCCTGGCCTCCACTTCGTGTTGTACTCTCCTTTGAGCTGTGGCCAGGGTGGGGTGCTGCCTGCAGGCCGCGCTTGCCTGCTCACGGATTGCCAGATCACCGCGGAGACCCCCTGGGGGCAGGCCCTCCTGGGTGCTACCTGCAGCTGCACTTTCCTGCTCTGGGATCCCCACGGTGACCACCTGGGTGCTGCCTACAGGCTGCACTTTCCTGCTCTGGGATCACCACAGCGACCCGGGAGCAGGCCCACCTGGGTGCTGCCTACAGGCTGCACTTTCCTGCTCTGGGATCCCCCTGGTGACCTGGGAGCAGGCCCACCTGGGTGCTGCCTACAGGCCGCACTTTCCTGCTCTGGGATCCCCATGGTGACTTGGGAGCAGGCTCACCTGGGTGCTGCTTACAGGCCGCACTTTCCTGCTCACTGATCGCTGGATCGCCACAGCGACCCAGGGGCAGGCCCTGCTGGGCACTGCCTATGGGCGGCACTTTCCTACTCTCGGATCGTCATGGGGTCCCGGCTGGGGATGGGGATTAGGCGGCACACGGGGGTCCCGGCTGGGGGCGGGGCTTAGGTGGCACACAGGGGTTCCAGCTGGGGGCGGGGCTTAGGCAGCACACGGGGGTACCAGCTGGGGGCGGGGCTTAGGCAGCGTGATTGTGCCACCTAAGCCCCGCCGCCCAGGGCTGCACACAGAGCCCGGATGGTGGCTCCCACTATCCTGCCCTGCCTGCAGTATGCAAATTAGCCGCCATCTTTGTTGGTGGCTAATTTGCATATCATGCTGATTAGCCCATGGGAGGTGTAGCGAAAGAACGGTCAATTACCATCTTTGTCTATTATTAGATAGGACTAGAGGCCCGATGCACGAAGATTCATGCAAGAATGGGCCTTCCTTCCCCTGGCTGCCGGCACCTCCTTCACTCCAGCCTGGAGCCATCTTTCTGCCTTCGTTCCAGCTCAGAGCCACCTTTCGACCTTCCCACGCTGCCCAGAGGCCTAGAGCGGCTGGGGCGGTGCAGAACACCTGCATTGTAGCCATGGCGATGACACAAGCATCCCACCCCGCCCCCGGCCACTCAGCACCTGTGTATGCAAATTAACCTGCCATCTTTGCTGGGTTAATTTGCATGCTCCCGATTGGCTAGTGTGTCGTGAAGGTACGGTCAATTTGCATTTTTCTCTTTTATTAGTATGTATAGATAGAAGATTTCATTTAACCCATGGGTGCTGAGAACAAGGCAACCTGCAGGCTTTACCCTTGAGAAGCCACTGGTCTTGTCATAATCTGGGATACACATACCCTAACTCAGGTGTTAAGAGGATCATTCAGGCCCTGGCAAGGTGGCTTGGTTAGTTGGAGTGTCCTCCCTACACCAAAAAAGGGGTGTGTATGGGAGGCAGACGATCCATGTCTCTCTCCCTCTTCCTCTCTCTCAAGCATATCCTCGGGTGAGGGTTTTTTTTTTTAAAGAGGGTCATTCAGGCTCGTGTGTGAAAAAAACAGACAGTGGGATTCTGGATTAATTTTGAAGGTGGAGCAAACAGGATTTGCAGGTGAATTGGATATGAAATTTAGGAGAAAGAGTCTTATTCTGTCAAGTATAAGTACAAGGATGTCGACTTGAGTACTGGGGAGACAGCACCATTAGCCTCCCCATCCCGTCCACCCACAGTCCTGTTGACTCTACCTCTGAAATAGAGTCTGGATCTAGACATTTCACTCGTCTTTATCACCCCTTAACGGCCCAAGCCGCCACAGGCTGTCACTAGGATGCTGTTCACACAAGAAGAAGAGAGTTTTTAAATGACTGTGTCAAACCAGTATGGTGGCTCCTCAAAAAGTTAACATAGAACTACCATAGGGCTACACCCAAGAGAAACGAAAGCAGGGACCCTAACAATTGTGTACATGTTCATAGCAGCATTATTCACAGTGGCCTCGGACCCTATTACCTGTTAACCTCTATTATATTTTTTTTGTTTCTGTGAATTTGACACCCCTAGGGACCTCATAAAGTGGAAACATACAATATTTGTTCTTTTGTGTCTGACTTATTTCACTGAGCACAATGTCCACAAGGTTCATCCACATGGTAACATTTGCCAGAATTCCCTTCCCTTTTCAAGGCTGAATAATATTCAATTGTACTGGATAGACCACATTTTGTTTATCTCTTCATCTATGGATAGACACAGGTTGTTCCCACCTTTTGGCTATTATGAATCATGCTTCGGTGGACATGGGTATGCAAATACCTAGGCGTGTAACTATTGGGTCATATGGTAACTCTATGTTTAACTTTTTGAGAAACTGCCAAACTCTTTCACAGCAGCTACCAACAGTGCACAAAGGTTCCAATTTGTCCACATTCTCACCAACACTTGTCATTTTCCAATTTTTGAGAGCCATCCTAATGAGTGTGATTTTTCTGTTGAGATGCATAAAAAATTTGACATATTTATGGATAGGTATATAATAGAGCAAATATAGAAAATGGCAATTGGAGAAAATGGACTGTGGGCAAATGACAATTCACTGTAAAATTCTTTCAACTTTTCTATGCATTTGAAAGTTTTCATAATAAACCTTTAGAAAAAGTGGCGGGGGAGGAAGGAGGGCTACTTCTTTTTTTAGGGTTTGAACATCTCAAGCTTAAACATTTGAAATGTTTTAACTTTTAAATGCAAAACCTTTGAGTCTACAAATCCATTTTGACGAACTTCAGAGAGCAGTGTTCTTTTTATTTTTGGCACATGTGCTAACAAGGCGAGCACTACAGCAGTGTTTCTTAAAAAGTCAAAAGGCTCTTCTTGCTCCGAGTGCCTCTTGGACGGTGCACAGAGAATAGGGGGGTGATCCGAGGTGCCAGCCGCAGGCTCCGCAT